ATAAAAAGGCACCTGGTCTGCAGAAATCTCCCATCCTGCCTATGCAAAAACAAAGACCAAATCATGTTCTCTGTTTCCTTTTTTTTATTTTATTAGTAGAGACATGAAGTCATACGTCACATTTGGGTATATATTACTAAGACAAATACTGTAAGAAGAAAGGCAGCGTACATCCCATCAGGGGCTATCACTTGCATCTTTACAGGAGAGAGTTGAGGGTGAGACAAAAAAAAAGGCAAATGAATCTTTATTTAAGCCACTGTCAGATGATAGCTAGAAAATGCTTCATCTATCTCCGTGCTTTCTCCTTTTCATGTTTCCCTTGACTTTTGTGAAACTATCAACCAGCCATTCTTGGGGCCAGTCAGCTGACACACTGCAGTCAGCTTTTCCTGTTGTTATGGAAACAGTGCCTCTGTGAGGCTTCTTCCCTTAAAAATAAAAATTAAAAAACAAAATAAAACCCCACTGTGAGTCAATAAAAATCATGAGCAAATATAGTAATCTACATTTCTAACATGAGTGGCAAGACTGGGAACTGGCTAAAAAATTTTACCTCACCAGAACACTTGGACCAAAAAAAACCCCAAAAAACCTAGCTCCAAACTGTTATAACATACTTGAGTACTTGAGAAGCTGCTAGCCAATTTCTAGGAGGTATGGCTATTAAGTCCTCCAGTTTACTCCCCATTAACTTGTAAATATGTTGGGAGCAAGAACTATAATTCACTGACCTTTTTGTCCTTCCAAGGCCTAGCACCACTGAGGCTTGTTTATTACTGAATTTACCCAGAACTATTAGAAACGCTTCTTACTCTGCCATTCCCAGTACCTCATCCCTGACTAATAGAAGTCACTCTGAGAACATCAACTGTGGACTCTTCTAGGGAGTTGCCCCAGCCTAAGGATATTTTCAGCCAGAGCTTCTGGTCCCCCAGGCTTCTGTAAACACCCCAGCAAAGAAAGCTCAACTGAAACAGAGTGCAACCATGCTTTTGTGATTGAGATATAAGACAAAACAGCCTTCTGTGGTTATTATGCATGTAACAATCCCAACTTTGCTACACAAATTCCTAGTGGGTGTTTCTTTAGTAGCTGAGAAGAGATGCATCATAGCCGAGTAGTCTTTGATGCTACCTTCAACTACCTCTCTAAACTCCTTGAATCCACTTCAAACACTGTCAACACCTCCACTTTGAATCTACTTTAGGGAGTTTACTGCAATGCACTTTTATGGCAATTTTTCTCTCAGGAAAATGCTTCCTGATTTTTAAATTTCTGGCCATCCATGATCAAATGCTGAAAAAGTCCTAGGGAAATGTATATGTTCCAGCTTTACTGAAGTTACCAGTTAGAGCCATTAAGAAGAAATTTTACAAACATAAGTATGATACACAAATTTTATATGATATATATGATAAATATTTCTACTCCAAAGCTTTGTAAAAGAATATCTAAAATGCAAAATGCTTGTGTTGCAAAACGACATTCTGTATCCATGCTCACAGAATCTGCTAGACTCTCACTTTGGCTGCAAAGCAGAAGGGCGACTCCTACGAGACACCATCCCAAGAACTAAGCAGAGCCCCTCAGAACATAGCTTCTGTCTCCTCAGCACTGACTCCAGCTCCTGGCTGGGCCAATAGTGACAGCAGAGTCACCAAACACTTTTTTCAGTTTTTGGTCAACAGAGAATTTTTGGCTCAGATCAAGAGCACTACTGCTCCTTTGTGTTTCTTACACATGTCACTTTGGCAGTCGCTCTGTTCAACAGACACTGCTGGTGCCTCCATCTGTCAATAAGACTTTGGGAAGAGTGACTGCAGCTCCAGGATGATAACCGGAATTTATATGCAGATATACATATATAGGCATACACAAACTTAGACACGAAAATACATACCCAACTAGGGAAATGACAATTAGGTGCTGAGTGGCACGTGACTCACTCAGAGTACTGCTGACGACACAGTAGGAACTGACCATGCTGGGAACACAAGCCTGGGCCAGCAATGGTGCTTTATTTGTTCATTCTCTATCTAGGCCAGAAGCTTCTTTGCCCTCACTTCCCATAAACAACATGAAGTCCTGTGGAATCTCTTTCGTAGCTCTCTCATTCACTCTACAACTACCGAGTGACTACTTTGTTCTACATGTGGGGATACAAAAGGAAACAAGACTGATGTGGCGCCTGCCCTCATGAGGCTCACAGTCTAATGGGGGCATGCGAGTGAAAAGGAGGCTAAGTCTGTTCGTAGGGACGCATTCAGGGTGCTACAAAGGAAAGGCATCAAACTGAGACTTAAGGTGTCAGAAAGGATTTTGAGGAAAAACATAACTACGACTTGAATTTATTACCTCACCTCTTCATTCCATTTACATAGGGTTAGGACCTCTTCCTGCCTGGACACCTGTCCTTATTCTTGTAATCCGTCCTTTTGCCTCTGATCTCGCCTTTGACAGAAACCCTTATCCTCAAGATAAAAGCAACTGTCACACACTGGGACTCCTCGTGATTTGGGCACCCATTTATTTTGCCAGGCTTTTGCGTGCTCCTACATTTAAGACATTCAGAAGCCCTGCATTTTCTGAAATGTGCTGTACTCACACATGTCTGCCTGGAGTACCTTTCCCCTTGGGTTTCAAGGCTAGATCAAGCCTTATCTCCTCTGGGAAGCCTTCCCTGACCTTTTAGTTTGAGAGAGGCATGTGCTGTAATATATATTTAAAGCTATTCTAGACACCACAAACAGTGTCATATTAAGTATGTGCTATTTAGCTTAGGATTCAATTCCCGGTGATCAGTTCCCCTAACCAAGAATCCATATTTCAGAGATTGCCAGCTACCCTGAACTCCCAAAAGCAGCTATTGAAAGCCCTTCAGTTGTTCATATATTGACCAACACCTAAGACTGCTTAATAGATCAGAAATAGGAGAAGTTTTTTCTACTGGTAAAATTAATGGCTTGTTAATCAGAATGATAAATATTAGAAATGGACCTCATTGCTAAAATAAAAGGTATATGAGATATATAGATTGGATAAAATAATTTAGAGATAGTCCCAACTGTTGCATGGAGAGGAGTAAGTCTATACCTGATCACTGTAATGCCACCTGGGGCCACCTGTGTCCAGCCATTGGCTTAGGAAGTTTCTCTTTGTCTGGTGCTGATTACAAGAGGAACAGAATCCTGCCTCTGTAACATTGCTACATTTCTGATAGAAACCTAAAATGACAAGACAGCTGGAACATCAGAAAGTTTAAAAAACAGGTTGTATGAACCTATTTCTAAATGAATATTTACTTATAAACACCCACAAGTATGGTAGGATTTGCTTCCATTTTAACCTAGTAATAAGGTTGTAAGGGAGCAGCTAACCATTTCTCAAACTTCTTCACTGGCCTCTTTAGCATGAAGCACATAAGTGTAGTACTAAATTAGCCTAGTCATTTCAACACAGGGCCTCTCCTCCACGCTCTTGCAGCACCTGTGCATCTGCCATGGCATGTGTCAAGTCATATGGAAACTGTCAGTTGACCTGTCTACCTTTCCCACTAAATACTGAGGTCCTTGAGAACAAGGATTGTACTTTTCATCTATGAAGTCCATTTCTGAGGTGAGTGTCTAGAATAAAGAAATACTTGCTGAATGACAATAGTAGCACAATAAAGTGAAAGGACATCTGATTAGGAGCTTGGAGACACATTTTAATACTAGTTTCAACAACAGCTGAGTACAGTACTTACTATGTGTCAATAATTTACTAAGTACTTAATATGTGTCAAGCACAGTATTAGGCACTTAAATAGTATCTTGTTTAATCTTCACCACAATCCTGAGAGGTAGCACCATCATCTTACAAAGGATGAACAGGAGAGACTGATTTATTCAAGATTATTTAGATAAATAAGTAGAAGAGTCCATCTTTGAACCCAAGTCTGGCTGAATCCAAAGCACAAGTTTTTAACCTTTACTTTAGAAGTGTGTCCCATGGCTAACATGTGAGAGCTTAGGCAAAAAAACTTCCTCTGGATCCCAACTTCCTCACTTGTTTACCTAGTGGGCCTAAGTTACTTAAGCCCTGTCCAGCTCATGTTACCATGTGACAGTTCTGAGCAGCATCAATCATGGCCTCAGTCTTGCCTGCCCAGACTGTCTCGACAAGACTGAGATTTCATTTGCAGCTTGTTATAGAGCTTGTCAGACAACATTTTGTTCTTATTCTTTTTTCCCCTCTTTTGAAATGTCTCAGGGGATTCTGAAGCAGAGAAAGGGACCCATTTTTGGCACACTGCTTTGAAACTAGAACCTTCTGTTAGTCACCAGAGCCAGCCAGTTGTTATTTTTGTTCTAAAATCCTTCACTGACATGGATGCTGGCAGAAACTGTAAAAAATGGCAAGGAAAGAAAACCTACATCCAGGGACACCTCAACTACCAGAGAAATAGAAATGTAACAGAAAACAGCAAAAATGTCCATCTGTTTACCACGTTTGAACTGTACCCTGCAGCTGGATTAAAAAAAGGACTTTAGAGATTCTCTTGACATCCCCTGGGGATTGCTCTGTTGAAAGACTCAAACCCTATCTGTGCCACAAAGTTTACAGTCAGGAATTGAAGTGGCATAGATAGTTCTATCCCACAAGTGCTTACTGAGGACTTTATGTGGTATGTGCTGAAATGTTAGTATCTCAGGCCAGTACCTACATGGCTTCCCTCCTCAGAATACATTTCATCTGCTACCACTCACTGATACCAGGATGAGAGTTCTAGAAAAATGGTAAGTCCCTAGTTGCCAGGAGAATGATGCTAGGCCCAACCCCCCACTTGGCTTCTCTAGAAGAGGCAAGAAGTCCTGGTGATACATCATTAAACAATCACAAAGAAGCTTTGACGGCATTAAGATGATTAAAAATCATGGTCATTTTCAGAAAATTGTTCAACAGAGGAGAATAAACACACTGGAGGAAGTTGTTTTTTGCCTTTAAAACTTACTCACTTTCTTAACAGCAGGATCCCCTTTGGATGGATGACAGGATGGAGACATTTTTACCTGGAAAAAAAGGCAAATTTTTTAATATCCTGTTAGTTATAGTCTAGTTTTATTTGACCCACACTCAAAATAGTTCAACTAGAATTGGTGTAACTGAGATAAAACAGACATTTTCAGAATAACAATGAATAAATTTTTTTTTTAAATTCCCTTTGAAATATGACTGGGGTAAGAAAAGTGAGGTAGATGATCCAAACTGGTTTTAACCAAATGGTGAGGAACCAAATAGATATAGATTTCTGTTGATAATGTAAATCAATTGATACAACATGCAATAGTCAGCATTTCTTACAGAGGCCAAAGCCAAGTATCCTTTGTGATGTAATATCCCTCTTAAGCAAACATGGACAAAAGAGTTTGATAATAAAAGTGAAGGATTTAGATAAAGTATCAGCCAAACCATAACAAAGGAATGCTTAGCCAAGGAAGAGAGAACTGATGGTAGAGGAAAGTCTTCAAGTATTTGAAGGATTAAAAAAGATTGTCACATTAGATAAAAGAACAAGACCCAACTACATGCTCCCTGCAAGAAACATATTTTAAATATAAAGCCACATAGGTTAAAAGCAAAAAGCTGGAACGATACAGCACTAGATTTCAGAGCAAAAATTATTACCAGGGATAAAGAAGATAATTTCATAATAATAAAGGTGTCAGTTCATCAGGAGGACATAAAAATCCTAAACATCTATGCATCTAATAGCTTAAAAGTACATAATACAAAATGGATAGGACTGTAAGGAGAAGTAGGTTTTATAGTCATAGATTTCCATACCCCTTTCTCAATAAATGAGAAAACAAGTAGGCAGATAACCAGAAAGTATAAACCCAATTAATAAATGAGCCAAGGAACCACACAAACATTTTCCAAAGACATACGAAAGACCAAGAGCTATACGAAAAGATGCTCAATTAGGGAAATGCAAATCAATCCACAGTAAGGTATCACCACATACCTGTTAGGAAGGTTTTTATAAAACAGACAAGAGATAACAAATGTTGGCAAGGATGTGGAGAAAAAGAAATGTGTTGGGAAAAGGGATATGTTGGTGGGAATGTAAATTTAGGTATAGCCATTATGAAAACAATATGGTGGTTCCTCCAAAAATTAAAATTTAAAGTACTATATGATCCAGCAATCCCACTCCTGGGTATATACCTAAAGGAACAGAAATCAACATTTTGAAGAGATATAAGCACACAGTGCTCAGTCAAGTATGCAAACAAGCTAAGTGTTCACAATAGCCAAGATATGCAAACAACCTAAGTATTCATCAATGGATGAATGGATAAATAATATATGATATACATATATACAATGGAATATTATTCAGCCATAAAAAGAAAGAAATCCTACTATTTTCAACAACATCGATGGACCTTGAGGGCATTATGCTAAGTGAGATAAATCAGTCAGAGAAGGACAAATATATATGATATCACATATATTTGGATCTAAAAAAGCTGAACTCATGAAAACAGAGTAGAATAATAGTTATCAGGGGCTGGGAGGTGGGGAAATTGGGGAGATATTGCTTACGGGTACAAAGTTGCAACTAGTAAATGAAAAAGTTTGGGAGATGTAAGGCACAACATAATGACTATAGTCAACAATACTGTATTATAAATGTCAAGGTGGCTAGAAAACTAGATTTTAACTGTTCTCAATACAAAAAAGAAATTATGTGCCATGATGTTGTTAGCTAATGCTACCGTAGTAATCATTGAAATATATAAATGTATCAAACCTACATGTATGTACACCTAAAAGTACACAATCGTGTCAATTATATCTCAATTAAAAAGACTTAAAAAATGCAACTACCTTGATAAGATGGACATTTACAGGATACTCTACCCCCAACAAAAGCAGAATGCATATTCTTTTTAGGTACACATGGACCATTTACCAACTTAGACCATTTTCTGGCAATAAAACAATTCTCAATAAACTGAAAAGAATCCAAGTCATACAAAGAATGCCCTCTGACCAAAAAAGAAAGAAATTTAATCAATAACAGAAAGATCTCTGGAAAAATTCCCAAATATTTAGGAACTAAGTTACACACTTCCAAATAACCCATGGATCAAAGAAGAAATAAAAAGAAAATTAGACCCTACAAACACACAACCTACCAAGACTGAATCATGAAGAAACAAAATCTGAATAGGCTAATAGCTAGTAAGGAAACTAAATCAGTAATTAAAAACCTCCCAACAAAGAAAAGTCCAGGAGCACATAGTTTCATTGGTGAATTCCACCAAATGTTTAAAGAAGAATGTCAATCCTTCTCCAACTCTTCCAAAAAACTGAAAAGGAGGAAACATTTGCAAACTATTTTAGGAGGCCAGCATTACTCTGATACCAAAGCTGGATAGGACACTACAAGAAAAGAAAACTATAGGCCAATATCTCTGATGAACACAGATGCAAAAGTCCTCAACAAAATACTAGCAAACTGAATTCAACAGCACATTAAAAAGGTCATACATCATGATCAAGTGGGATTCATCCCTGGGAGGCAAAGGAGGGCTCAATATACACAAATCAATAAATGTGATACACCACCTTAACAGAGTAAAGGAAAAAATATACATGATCATCTCAAATGATGCAGAAAAATCATTTGGCAAAATTTAACACTTTTTCATGATAAAAACACTCAACAAACTAGGATTAGAAGGAAACTACCTCAACATAATAAAGGCTATATGTATGTATTTATGTGTGTTGTATGTGTGTGTATATATCACAGCTAACATCAAACTCAATGGTGTAAGACTGAAAGCTTTTTCTCTAAGTTAAGAAACAAGACAAGAATGCCTGCTTTTGTCACCTCTATTTAACATAGTACTGGAAGTTCTAGCCAGAGCAATTAGGCAAGGGTAATAACAGAAGGCATTCAAATCAGAAAGGAAAAAGTAAAATTATCTCTGTTTGCAGATAACATGATCTTATATGTAGAAAACTCTAAATTTAGATTCCAAAAAATAACCTATTAGAATAAACAAATTAAGCAGGATACAAAATCGATACATACAAATCAGTTTGTTTCTATACACTAACAATGAACAATCTGAAAAGAGAATTAAGAAAACAATTTACCATACCATCAAAAAGAATAAAACACTTAGGAATAAGCTTATCCAAGGAGGTTTTGACTTGTGCACTGAAAACTACAAAATATTGCTGAAAGAAATTAAAGAAGACAAAGATAAATAGAAAAATATACCGTGTTCATGTTTCATAAGACAATATTGTTAAGATGTCCACACTACCCAAAGCAATCTATAGGGTCAATACAATCCCTATCAAAATCTCAATGGCATTTTTTTGTAGGAAAAAATCCCCACAAAAAAACCATCCTAAAATTTGTATGGAAACAATCTTGAAAAAGAATAAAGTTGGGGAGGGCCTCACATGTCCTGATTTCTAAACTTATTACAAAGCTACAGTAATCAAAACAGTGTGCTACTGGCATAAAGACAGACATATACACCAAATGGAATAGAACAGAGACTAACAAACTGAATTCAACAGCACATTGAAAGGGTCACACATCATGATCGAGTGGCATCATTACATATATAGTCAAATGATTTTCAACAAGGGTACCAAGACCATTTAATAGGGAAAGGACAGTCTTTTCGGCAAAGCTGAAGATCCACATGCAAAAGAATGAATGAAGCTGGACACATCTAACACTACATACAAAAATGACCTCACAATGGGTCAAAGACCTAAATGCAAGAGCTCAAGATATAAAACTCTTAGATGATAACATAGAGGGGAAATTTCTTGACATTGGATTTAGCAATCATTTCTTGGATATGACACCAAAGGCACAAGCAACAATAATTTTAAAAAATAGATAAATCTGACTTCATCAAAATGAAAAACTTATGTTCACTAAAGGGCATGATAGAGTACAAAGGCAACTCACAGAATGGAAAAAAATTGCAAATGACATATTTGATAAGGAATTAATATCCAGAATATATAGAAAACTTCTAAAACTCAACAACAAACAATCCAATAACAAAATCAGCAAAAGACTTGAACATTTCTCCAAAGAAAATATATAGATGGTCAATAAAAACATGAGATGATGCTTCACATCATTAGTCATTCACAAAATGCAAATTAAAAACACAATGAGATACCACTATACACCAATTAGAATAGCCAAAACTAAAAAGACTGATTAGCCCTGGCCAAGTAGCTCAGTTGCTTGAAGTGTAATTCCAATACGCCAAGGTTTCGGGTTCAATCCCCCATCAGGGCACATACAGGAATCAACAAATGAATGCATAAATACACGAAACAGCAAATCGATGTCTCTCTCCTTCTCCCCACCATACCCCCTCTCTTCTCTCATAAAATAAAATAAAATAAATAAAATAAAATAAAATAAAATGACTGACTCTACCAAGGATGTGGAGGAATTGGAACCCTCATATACTGTTGGTAGGAGGGTAAAATGGTACAACCATTTGGAGAACAGTTGGGCAGTTTCTTAAAATGATAAACATAATTCTTCATATGAGTCAGCCATTCCATTCCTAGGTATTTACCCAAGAGAAAGGAAAGTATACTCCATACAAAGATTTGTGCACAAATCTTCATAACAGCTTTATCTATAATAGCCAGAAACTAGAAAAGCCAAATATCTATCAAGAGGTAAAATAATAAATTATGCTATATCCCTAAAATGAAACATTATTCAGCATTAAGGAGGAATGTACTCTTGATACAACAACGTCGATGAATCTCAAATAATTATGCTGAATGAAAGAAGCTAGACCAAAAAAGCATACATACTTGTGGTTCCATTTATCTATATTGTAGAAAATGCAAATTAATCTATTGCTACAGAAAGCCAATCAGTGGTTTCCAGGGAACATAAGTGAGAAACAGTAAATTTTGGCTGGTTATGGATAGGGTCAAGTATCTTAACTGTAGTGATGGATTTATAGATATACTCACATGTCAAATTTGT